ATTAACCAATCACACAACAGCAACTCAATGCATTTAGACATCTAGACGTGGTGAAGACGACTTGCTGAAGTTCAAAATGAGCATCAGAATGGGGAAGGAAGGGTATTTAAGTGACAGAACGTGGCATGGTTGTTGGTGCCAGACGGACTGGTCTGAGTATTTCAAAAACTGCCGATCTACTGGGATTTTCATGCACAACCATCTCTAGGGTTTACAGAGAATGGTCTGAAAAAGAGAAAATATCCAGTGAGGGGCAGTTGTGTGGACGAAAATGCCTTGTTGAGGTCAGAGAAGAATGGGCAGATTGGTTGCTGCGACATTCAGATGGTAGGGTCAGAATTTGGTGTAAACGACATGCAAGCATGGATCCATCCTGCCTTGTATCAACGGTTCATGGTGGTGGTGTCATGGTGTGGTGGATCCACCCTGCCTTGTATCAATGGTTTAGGCTGGTGGTGGTGTCATGGTGTGGTGGATCCATCCTGCCTTGTATCAAAGGTTCAGGCTGGTGTTGGTGGTGTCATGGTGTGGTGGATCCATCCTGCCTTGTATCAATGGTTCAGGCTGGTGGTGGTGACGTCATGGTGTGGTGGATCCATCTTGCCTTGTATCAATGGTTCAGGCTGGTGGTGTCATGGTGTGGCAGGATCCATCCTGCCTTGTATCAATGGTTCAGGCTGGTGGTGTCATGGTGTGATGGATCCATCCTGCCTTGTATCAAAGGTTCAGGCTGGTGGTGTCATGGTGTGGGGGAAATTTTCTTGACAGCAGCAAGGTGTACCTAATAAAGTGGCCGGGGAGTGCATTTCTGTCTTCATGCAGGTATTTGGTAGAGGTCTCAATGCTCTGTGACGTCCCTAATCTAGTTATTCCAATGGAACTTTAGAAGGGGATACTGAAAAAAAAAAGTAGTAGCAGAGGTGCCCAGATCACTATTAATGATCAGTCCAAGGAGGGTAAGAACTTCTTCATAAAAGCTTTTTTTATTAAACACCAAAATGGCAGTTTATGACTGACTGCCACTTTTTCAGACCGATTGCATGGACAAAGTCCTACGTCATAGTTTTGGGGTTGTTTTCGATATGTGCAAAGAGAGATTGTACAAATACATTTATTACAAATAATGAGAGATACAGATAACAAATATTAGAAAATATAACAAGAATACTTAACCAAAGATGCTGTTTCCGCCACAGAGTCGTTTCCCCAGCTTTCACACGGCGTGGCACACAGGTGACCACAGACGCATGCATGATTGCAAGCTCTGAAGACGAGACTAAATATTTCAAGCTACAACTGTAGTATACAGACTTGTGTGTAGGGAATGGACAGCCCCCAGCCAACTCCCTCCCCAATATGACTTTTTAAGGACTTGGTCAGTTTATAATCACACATTCCTGAAAGGAGATTAGTGGGCTAGCTTGTCCATGTGGTCAGCCGACTAAAGTCAGCTACAGTAACCAGGATATTAGAGGCTAGGCCAACAATAAGGAATATGAAATATATGGACTTACTGCCCTATAATATCATATGATATGGAGAATACATTATGTGAAAAAAAATCATATCATAAGGGAAGCACAGTGGCTAAATGGTTAGAACTTCTGCCTGGCAGTACTAGGGTCGTTGGTTCGAATCCCAATCACAGCACCACCTGCCTGGAATTTGCATGTTCTCCCTGTGCCTGCGTGAGTTTCCTCCGGGTACTCCAGTTTTCTCCCACACTCCAAAGACATGTTGGTAGGTTCATTGGATCCTGTCTAAATTGTCCCTAGTATTTGTATGTATGAATGTAGGACTGATGTGAATGTACAATATATATACAGTGGATATAAAAAGTCTACATACTTGTTAAAATGTCAGGTTTCTGTGATGTAACAAAATGAGACAAAGATAAATCATTTCAGAACTTTTTCCACCTTTAATGTGACCTATAAACTGTACAACTCAATTGAAAAACAAACTGAAATCTTTTAGGGGGTGGGAGTAAACATAAAAAACTAAAATAATATGGTTGCATAAGTGTGCACACCCTCTTATAACTGGGGATGTAGCTGTGTTCAGAATTACGCAATCACATTCAAAATCATGTTAAATAGGAGTCAGTATACACCTGCTATTTAAAGTGCCTCTGATTAGCTGAATTACTAGAATTAGCTGTTTTGGTAGGTCTTTCCTGACATTTTCTTATTCGCATCCTACAGCAAAAGCCATGGTCTGCAGAGCACTTCCAAAGCATCAGAGGGATCTCATTGTTAAAAGGTATCATTCAGGAGAAGGGGACAAAAGAATTTCCAAGGCATTAGATATACCATAAAACACAGTGAAGACAGTCATCAAGTAGAGAAAATATGGCATCACAGTGACATTACCAAGAACTGGATGTCCCTCCAAAATGGATGAAAAGACGAGAAGAAAACTGGTCTGGGAGGCTGCCAAGAGGCCTACAGCAACATTAAAGGATCTGCAGGAATATCTGGCAAGTACTGGCTGTGTGGTACATGTGACAACAATCTCCCGTATTCTTCATATGTCTGGACTACGGGGTAGAGTGGCAAGATGGAAGCCTTTTCTTACAAAGAAAAACATCCAAGCCCGGCTAAATTTTGCAAAAACACATCTGAAGTCTCCCAAAAGCATGTGGGAAAATGTGTTCTGGTCTGATGAAACCAAGGTTGAAGTTTTTGGCCATAATTCCAAAAGATATGTTTGGCACAAAAACAACACTGCACATCACCAAAAGAACACCACACCCACCGTGAAGCATGGTGGTGGCAGCATCATGCTTTGGGGCTGTTTTTCTTCAGCTGGAACTGGGGCCTTAGTCAAGGTAGAGGGAATTATGAACAGTTCCAAACACCAGTCAATATCGGCACAAAACCTTCAGGCTTCTGCTAGAAAGCTGAACATGAAGAGGAACTTCGTCTTTCATCATGACAACGACCCAAAGCATACATCCAAATCAGCAAAGGAATGGCTTCACCACAAGAAAATGAAAGTTTTGGAATGGCCCAGCCAGAGCCCAGACCTGAATCCGATGGAAAATCTGTGGGGTGATCTGCAGAGGGCTGTGCACAGGAGATGCCCTCCCAATCTGACAGATTTGGAGTGTTTTTGCAAAGAAGAGCGGGCAAATATTGCCAGGAAGTCAGGATGTGCCATGCTGATAGACTCATACCCAAAAAAGACTGAGTGCTGGAATCACATCAAAAGGGGCTTCAACAAAGGATTAGTGTATGGATGTGCACACTTATGCAACTATACTATTTTAGTTTTTTATTTTTACTTCCCTCCACCTAAAAGATTTCACTTTGTTGTTCAGCTGAGTTGTACAGTTTATAGGGCACATTAAAGGTGGAAAAAGTTCTGAAATGATTTATCTTTGTCATTTTGTTTACAACACAGAAACCTGATATTTTATCAGGGGTGTGTAGACTTTTTTATATCCTCTGTAGGTTCACACTTGAGCTTTTTTTCAGTGCGTTTTCCAGTTTGCAGAAATCCATTACAGTTCTTTCACCATGATTTCATGTGGATCTGGTTCACATCTATGCATTTTGAGCCAGTGCATCTTTTTTGAAAGGGTCAAGGACTCTTTATATCCACTGTATACGTAAAGTGCTGTGTAAATTGATGGTGCTATATAAGTACCTATAATAATAATCAAGGTTTATGGTTTTGGTGTGAAAAGGACCTTATATAAAGATCATATGATTACTGTGCCATATGGAGGAGGATTTCACCTAAAAGAAGAGGCTGGTTCAGCAGGGACTGGCCGAAGTTTGATCAGTGTGTGGCTGCCTCTAATCTCAGCTTGTTACCTGTATGAAAGAGGACCTGGTAGTCAGAAATCCTGCTGAATGATAGGGGATCAAATACTTATTTCCCTCATGAACATGCAGATCAGTCATCATTTGTTAGACATGCATTTCTGCTGAATGTTTTGTTGCTATTCTCTCTCTCAGTGTTACAATACACTGAACATTCGATTTTTAGACCGATCATTTCTTTGTGAGTGGGCAAACACTCAAAATACACATTTCCTTTACCGTAGCACAATGGAAGCCAAGGTGTCTAGTGCATCCCCTCATCAATATATCAACAGTACAAACAAATGGCCCCAATCTATAACTGGCCTTCACAGCAACGAGCACATGGAAGGGAACAATAAAAGAGAAAAATTCCCAGCTCAACTTACCGACCAGCCTGCAACCAACCAAATTTAATTTTCCTCTTTTATTGTTCGGTTGGTTGCAGGCTGGTCGGTACGTTGAGCTGGGAATTTTCCTCTTTTATTGTTTGGTTGGTTGCAGGCTGGTCGGTAAGTTGAGCTGGGAATTTTCCTCTTTTATTGTTCGGTTGGTTGCAGGCTGGTCGATAAGTTGAGATGGGAATTTTCCTCTTTTATTGTTCGGTTGGTTGCAGGCTGGTCGATAAATTGAGCTGGGAATTTTCCTCTTTTATTGTTCCCTTCCATGTGCTCCTTGCTGTGAAGGCCAGTTACAGATTGGGGCCATTTGTTTAAAACAATTCAATTCTGTAAATGACATTCATTTCCTAGTGTAGCTCCTCCTACATACAGATTTCAGTATTTGTCAGTGAAACACCATCCACAATATAGACAGAAATGCGGCGTCACCCTGAATGAGCCGACTGGTGGGAAACAAGATACCGTTTCTGAGAAAAACATCGCCCGCATTTATTGCAGGGGAACGGCTTTTCTCCGGTGTGACTTCTCTGGTGTTTAATAAGACTGTCTTTTTGAGGAAACCCTTTCCCACATTCAGAGCATGAAAACGGCTTTTCCCCCGTATGAGATCTCTGGTGTAATAGGAGGTTCCGTCTCAGCGTATACGACTTCCCGCATTCAGAACAGGAAAACGGCTTTTCAGACATGTGCGTCTTTTCATGATAGTTAAGATGAGATCTGGAGATGAAACATTTCCCGCACTCCACACAAGAATACGGCTTCTCTCCCGTGTGAACACGTTGATGCGTGATTAGGTTTTTTTTCCTAGAAAAACATCTCCAACATTCCGAACAGGAATACGGCCTCGCCCCCACGTGAGCCAGCTGGTGCGAAATAAGGCTTTGTCTGCAGGAAAAACATCTCCCGCATTCCGCGCAGCAAAACGGCTTCTCCCCCGTGTGACATCTCTGGTGTTTAATAAGACTGTCCTTGTGGGGAAAACATTTCCCGCACTCGGGGCATGAAAACGGCTTCTCTCCCGTGTGAGATCTGAGGTGGAAAATGAGGTTTCCTCTCTGAGCATAAGACTTTCCACATTCAGAGCATGAAAACGGCTTTTCAGACATGTGAGTCTTTTCATGGTAGTTAAGGTGAGTGCTAGTGGCAAAACATTTCCCGCACACTGAACATGAATATGGCTTTCTCTCCCGTGTGCACATGCTGATGAGCAATCAGAGCTCCTTTTCGGGTAAAATGTTTTCCACATTCAGAACACGAAAACGGCTTCACCCCAGAATGAGTTCTCTGATGCGTTACTGCATCGGATTTCTGTCTAAAGCATCTCCCGCAATCGGGACATGAAAATGGTTTCTCTCCGGTGTGTGTCCTCTCGTGTTTAATAAGACTGGTCAACAGGGAAAAACAATGGCCGCATTCCGAGCACGTGTATGGCTTCTCTCCCGTGTGAACCCTTTTGTGTCTCATAAGAGACCATTTTGAAGAGAACAGTTTCCCGCATTCGAGACATAAAAAAGGGTTCATTCCGATGTGGGTTCTGTGGTGTTCAGTAAGAGCTTTTCTAGAAGGAAAACATTTCCCGCACTCAGAACAAGACTGGGGCTCCTTCGCCACGTGGGTCCTCCGGTGGGAAGCAAGATGAGCTTTCTGGTTAAAACGTTTGCCGCAGTCAGAACAAGGAAATGTTTCTCCCTCTCTGCAAAACTGTGCGATGGGTGATGGGATGGGGGGGACTGGTAGAACTTCCCCCATTGGTCGGAGGACCACATAAAGGATCTGCAAGTGTTGGATGAAGAATTAGGGAGATGGGGCTTTCATTTAAAGAATCACAAGTCATATCATCTTCAGTTCTGTCATCCGTGGAGAGAATAGGAAGCTTTCCCATGCTATGTTCTCTAAACTGTCCATCTGCATGAAATAAGAAGTGAGAGAGAATAACTTCTGTGAATTAAAGTGGTTGTGAGCCAACTTTTGTGTTTTTTTGGGGGTTTTTTTCTTTTTTAATGGTTGAACTGGATGGACTTTTGTCTTTTTTCAGCCAGACTACCCACATGGAAGAAAAATATATTTGAAATATATGTTAAAAATATTCTTCCCAAACATACTGCTATAATTTTGGCCATATTTAAAGACATGCAGTATATTTGAAATGTATGTATGTATTTCATGTATTTTGTAAAAAAAAACACATTTCAACATGCAGTATACTATATATATATATATATATATATATATACACACATATATACATATATACATACACACACTGCATGTTGAAATGTGTTTTTTTACAAAATATATGAAAAATATATTTAAAAATAAATTTCAAATATACTGTATGTCTTTAAAAATACAAATCTACATTTTTGGAATGAATTTACAAATATATGTAAAAATATATGGTAAAATAACTTTTTTATATGTCAAGAAAAATCAAGAATATATTTTAAAAAAAAACTTTTTAAAAATATATTTTTTTAAAGTATATTCTTTAGATTTTTTTTAATATAAAAAAGTCATTTTACATATATTTTTACATATATTTGTAAATGCATTCCAAAAATATAGATTTGTATTTTTAAAGACATACAGTATATTTGAAATGTATTTTTTAAAAATATTTTTCATATATTTTGTAATAAAAATGCATTTCAACATGATATATATATATATATATATATATATATATATATATATATATATATATTGAACACGTCCAAAATTGTAGCATTTAAAATATATGGCAATATATTTGGGAATAATATTTTTAAAATATATTTCAAATCTAGTTTTCTTCCATGTGGGTAACTATGTAACAATGAACCCTTCCATATCCCCAGTGAAGTGACTGGCCTCTGGTGATACACAGAGATGACACAAATCCTCCTACATAAGTTGTATGTGTTTATCTGCAGTATTCTCTTCTCTACATCTGTTCAAAGTGCTGAATTTATAAAGCTTGGCTGAAAGTACATATAAAAGGGGGCGGAGAGCTGAAATTACACACTGCTGAGCTCAGTGAGGAGAGCTCTGAGAGCTGATTGGAGGGAAGAGACACACCCCCCTCCACACAACACACAGGAACAGAGCTGAGGCTGTCAATCTGTTGGAGGTCCCTCCCCTGTCACCATTTTTCTCTTGTGTCAGGAAAACTTTTTAGAAGTGATTCATCCTGATAGTAAAGGAATGAAGCAGCAGACAGAAATGACACTTAGGGCCGGTTCACATATATGAGGATTGGATGCAGTTTGAACCGCATCCAATCCGCATGACATGTGAAATAACATTGCTTCCTGTGGTGCCTGTTAACAAATGTCCAGTACACTGGCAGTGTGGATTGAAAAAGTCATGTCCGATTTCTGAGCAGTGCGGTCCGGTTCTGGTGCAGATTATAGGCTATTGACATCTATGGGAACCATTTCTAAACCGCACACGTCATACTGTATCAAGTAGCTGTGAAACCTGAGCTTCACTCGCACCACACATGTGTGAATCAGCACTTAGTGCTCTGAACTGAGACAAGTACACACTATAGAGGGATGTGCTTTGTTCATATTTCATGTCTGAGCTTTACACTTTAAATAGCAGGACATTTTAAAGATGTCAGGAGCCGATCATATCATGAAATATAAAGAAGTGTTGCATTTGGCCTTTAAAATACAGATTGACACCGTGGGTGCTCAACCTGTGACCCTCCAGGTGTTGCGGAACCACAAGTCCGATCATGCCTCTGCCTTTGGGAGTCATGCGTGAAACTGTCAGCCTTACAATGCCTCATGGGACTTGTAGTTCTGCAACACCTGGAGGACCACAGGTTGAGCACCCATGACTTACACCTTTACTATATCTAAATTACTATCCTGATATTCTCCTACGAAAGAAAATGTCTCTGTGTGAAAACACAATCTGATTTACCTCCAAGATGATATTATGTAGTTTATGGATTGCTTCTGCATCAAGTATTTATTACTGACCTTTTCTGATCTCTATAGGGATTTCCTCCTCTTTAATCCTCACATGTTCTTCTTCCTCCTCCTCAGCTTTGATGTCTCTCTGAGTGTCTCCGGGATCTGTGAATAAAGATGAGAGTGAAGCCCCCTGTACTGAGATGTATGAGAGACCCCAGAGAGTGTGTGTGGGGGGAGACTGGTAACGTCTCAATGACATGATGTGAGGAGGAGAGCCGGAGTCTAAGGCCAGGTTCACATATGTGCGGCCGTTGTTTTGCGCGGGCACGAGAGCCCATTCATTTGAATGGACTTCCGTGCCCCCGGGCTGATCCCTGCACTTCTTCGGAAATCGCAGTCCGCGCGGGCACTGAGGTTCCCAGTACAGTTGCTGTTTCCAGTGAGGGTGGCATGCCATTAGAATTAATGTCACCCACTCGCGGGTCGGCATTCCTCTGTGTGGATGGTGCGGCTGCAGGTATTTGTGGGGTCTCACAGCAACACTACCCACACAGATGTGAACCAAGCCTGATAGCGGCTAATGGCTCCTGACCCCCCTACTGGGCACATAGTGTCCCCCTATTACTATCTACTGACAGAGGAGGGGGGAGAAGAAGAGATTGTTGTAGTGACTGAACAAGGAGGATCTGGGACTCTTCCCTGGATTTAGTGTTTATTCCTCACCTGTGCTGATCTCTGGAGGCATATCTCCTCCTCCTTCCATGGCTCATAGCTGGAGTCTAATAGAGGCTGATGGCTCCTGACCCCCCTCACTGGGCACATACTCTCCCCCCATTACTGTCTACTGACAGAGGAGGGGGGAGAAGAGATTGTTGTAGTGACTGAACAAGGAGGATCTGGGACTCTGCTCTGGATTTAGTGTTTATTCCTCACCTGTGCTGATCTCTGGAGAGATCTCCTCCTCCTTACATAGATCATCACCCATCACATACAGATCTTCAGCTTCTTCCTTTACTTCTACTTTAACTGTTAAAACTTCATTCTTAAAAATAGAAATTAATAAAAATACAATGATGCACTATGCCTTTGTATAATGTATTAAGGGCTCTTTCACACGGGCGTTCCATAGGTCCGTTTTTCATCTGTTTACGGATGAAAACTGACCCCCATGTATTTCTATGGACTTGCGGATGTAAACGGATGAACATCTTTTTACATCCGTTAATGTCCGCATCCGTTAACATCTATTTTTTTGAATGGAAGTAAACCCTAATTTTCTTCCACAAAAAAAACTGTAACGGACGAAAAACGGATGTCAACAGATGAAAACGGACCAAAAAAACGGATGTAGATGGATGAAAATGGATCTAAACGGATGAAAAACAGATCTAAACACATGAAAAAATGGATGTAAATGGATAAAAAACCGGATGTAAACTCGTCCGTTTTTTCTTTCAAAAACCTTGACTGAACTGAAGAAGAAAAAACGGAACGCTCGTGTGAAAGGACCCTTAGTATAGTTGTTGAAGCATAATCTACCTGATCCTCCTGAGGGATCTCCTGATGTTCCTGTGCGGAGTCCCGGGAATTCAGAGGACGGGGACATCTCTCTGGGGAATTTCCCTTGCAGGATCCATCTGTAGGAAACGCACACACTGACTGAATACATTGTTTCTATGTCTTTATATCAGAGGATGTGTGTATCTAGGTGGATCCTCAATACAAGAAATGAAAATCTCCTCTTACCAGGTGATGTGAGGGGCAGCGGATTCTCCATCATGACGTCCTTCTACAGATCCTTCTGTCTTTGTGAATACTCCCACTCTTCTGTATCCCTTTGTCATTGAAATTGAAGTTTGTTTCCAAAGCACACACTGTCAAAAAAGCAGAGCAAGGTACATTGGGCTGAATGCTACACAGGCTTTTGTTTTGCAGGGATGTTGAATTTATATCGCCAAATGCTCGGCAAATGTAGTTCTGGGCGCTGGGCAGGTAGTTTTTTTTAACCTTCAGCACTGCTGCCACTTGATTGCTTTCACACAGCCCACTACCGTGCCAATCTCTGCCCCCTCCCATGTGAACCTCCCCCCATCTGCTCCACTTGCCCATCTGCGGGCCCAGGATTGTTTCACTGTGCACCGGTGGCTAGAGGGGAGAGAGGAGATCAGACATGTCCGCTCCACTCCCCTTCT